TCAGATTTTTTTAATTTTTGGCCTAATAACTTAAGGAGCAGAGTAATTTTCAAACTCAATTTACTCGAAAACCATTGGAAATATCGATTTGGATAAAGATAATATTTTTTACGTAAAATTGTTAATATTTTATAAATATGCAGAGAAAGTTGTAAAAAAATTGAAATAAAAAAAACTACGGGCCGAAAACCCCCTTCACCAACCTAAATGGGACGCATATGAATTGCATGTCGAAAAACGGAGTAGCCCATGTTATTTAACGTAAAAAGTTATGTCAGACCCATAAATTTTTTTCTATTTATTTGCGACCGTTTTGTCAATAACAAAAGAAAAACAGTTTTGTTTGAGCTCTTTTAAGGGCATATAACTTCCTAAGGGTGCGTTTTAGGGCACATGTTGATAGGACCTTTTTGGCTTATTTTAATGGGTTATAAACGCAGCAGAAATTTGAAACCCTATTTTAGAAACACCCTGTATACATACATAACATTTTTTCCAACAATATATGATAACTTGATTATCCGGTTCATTGGATAAAATATTTTTTTTATTGATTTCGGGCAGGAATGTATATGGACTGTCATGTACGTAATATGTTCAAATTAATAGTAACGAGTATTTTCCACATTTGTAAAGTCATATACGGGGTGATTTATTAATAATGGTACACAACTTAAGGGAATATCGTTGACGTGACATTATGACAATTGAACTCAATATGAAGAAAATATTTTAAATTTTTTGCAATATTTTGTGCATATTTGGATGAATTATTTTGAAAATTTGCACACAAAATTCTGTTTAAGGAGCAACATTGATAGATGAGAAACATAAGAATACTATTTAATAGACTGAATCACCATATCTATACGTTTTTGGGGTTGCTGATTTCGAATTCAGATGTTTGTTAAACCCCATCTGGTCACTGTTCGTCTCTAACCTTAAAAACACTTCAAATCGTTGAAATAATACTTTTCTACGATGAGTAATACAGTCTAACCACCACAATTTATGTTTTCGGGATCGCTGAAACCAATTCTGATATCCATATAACTTCAACTAGTCAGAGTTCGTGCCTAACCTCAAAAAATAGTTAAGATTACACTTTCTACATTTAGGAATGAAGTGTAACCAACATATCTTTATATTTTTGAGGTCACTGAATCGAGGTATTTATCATTGCGGGTCGAGGGCCACTTTCATGGTGAGATATATAAAAATATTACCTTCATTTTTTGATGACTGACAATTTGAACCAAAAATGAAAACTTGCATATTTTTTATGTCAAAATAATTGTATAATGTTTGAAACTTTTTTAAAATATCATGTTTTGTTGAAAGGGTATATCGTGGATGAGATTTTTTTTCGTAGTGTCCAAACTTGTAAAAAATATGAATGTAGGTATCCAATTTTTTGGAATTTGTTGACCAAACTAGGTATATTTGATCTATCTGCTTCTTTACTGCAACTGTCTCAATTATAGTTACAAAATAGGTATCAGTTTATTCAACGTCTCATAATATTTTATTAAATATCTGGCGTACCTCAAGATTCTGCACTCGGCCTATTACTTTTTATTTTTGTTTATAAACGATATTATGGAAGATTTATAAATGCACTATTTATGTATGTGAACGACTAAACTATTGTATTAATATAACAGTTTAATGCTAAATGTAGCCAAGTGTAATATCATTACATTCATTAAAAATAAAAGGTTTATTAAACTTGATTACAAATTATATAATATAACTCTAAATAGACTCGATTACATAAAAGACCCTGGAGTTACGTTTTAGCCAGCTTTATCTGTAATCTCTACACCACGATTTCTATACATTACGCTTATTCGTTCTACATTATAATATGCATCAGTGGTCTGGAACCCAATTTATGATAATCAAATTGCAACTTTTAAATAAATATAGTAGGCGTAGGTTTCCGAGGCCTGACATATTCCACCTCAGGATTTTCCACGCGATTTATTGCTTGAGTATTTTAATATTCGTGTCCTATCTAAAAGAAGATCTGTTTTTCAAGACATGTTTTTGTATAAAGTTGTCCATAATAACTTGGAGTCTGGTGTAGTAAATAGCATTCAAATCAAAGTACTACTACTATAAGCTAGAAGTAATAACAATTTCAACCAGCACAACACTTTGTAACACGCCCTTATTTATCTTCGAGAAAGAAAATAATACCAATTCCATTCAAACTATAAAAAAGTAACACGAAAGTCGGAATATACATTCCTTATTTTGTGAATGTTATTCCTTATTGTGTGTATATCGTTTCTTATTTTTGTTTGAATATTTGTACATTCATATTTTTGTGTCTATTTTTCTTCATACTTCATACATATTTTCATTTCTCTTTCTTTTTTTGTTATATTTTAATTACAGACTTACCACATTGTATTAATATTGAATGAATTAATACAAATAAATAAATAAAGGATACATGAACACATATTTGAAAATAAATAAGCAAGTATTTTTTTAACACATATCCTAACTGAGTTTCTGGTATGCGATGGAAGTAATAAAAAAGGAGTTTTTTAGGGTTAACAAAATTGATTACATAAAATACTTCAGCGTAGCGCGGGGGCCTCAATCTTTTGTTGAAAACTTTTCTTCTAATTTATTTGAGCGGCGTCATTGTACCGTAATGACATGTCGCTATGGAAATAAATTCGATCATATAAAGCACAAAAGTTGTCCGTGGAAACACCAAAATCTCGAAGGATGTGTGGGATAAAAGAACAAAGAACAAAAGGCGAAAGAGATATTACCAACTTAACAAACTTTACATCAGATTACGATATGGAATTAATCAAGGCATCCGAGAAGTCGTGCGGATGGGAAAAAGGACTCGAAACGTCCTAGAATTAACGTAAACTAGGTGGAAATTGAATTATTGGCGGGAAACAAAAGTGATTCATCTAGCTCCGAATATACATCCCTTGCACGATACTTTATTATCCGCCCCATAAATCCGGTTAAATTTGAGGACGTGAATGTGAAAAAAATCGTTTGATAGCCAACAGTTTTTCTACTTTGGTATGTTGTGCAAGAACATTCAGGAAAAATATTTAGTTTATTTATATAGAGTGCTTGAAAGCTATGTTAATGAACCATACTTCTTAAATAATTTTATTAATTCCTTGTAATAAACAGGCAAAATATTTATTGGAAATCATCAAACCTTTATTTGGATATTCTGAATCATACATTAAAAATAGTAAACATCTTTTGGAAAAACTTTAAATACTAGTTATTTAATGGTGAGTTTTGATTGGTTATGTGTTTATTAATATACTAGTAGATACAACATTGAATACCTATTATCAAAAATAACAAAATTTCGGAATCGCAATGGGATCCTCATTATCACCAATTTTATGTAATATTCTATGAACTTTTTTGAAGAAAACTATGTAAACAATTTAAATAAAAAACTCTGTTTGGTGGAGATACGTAGATGATATGTTTGCAATTTGGCATTTTACCATTGAGGAATTAAATATATTTCTAGATAATATTAATACCAAGAACCAACAATTTTTACTTTGGAAATAGAAAGCAATAATACATTCTTTCTTCTAGATGTTTTAATTAAAAAATAGCAATCATTTAGAAACAAGTGTTTATAAAAAATCAACTCACTGACAGATATCTAAATTTTAATTCAAAGCATTATACTGATATAAAGAAAGGTGTAGTTAAATGTTGGTATATTAGAGCTAAATTGATTTTTCCAAAAAGTGAAAATTTTAATAATGAATTGAAATTCATAAAAAATATAATAAATAATCAAAACCCTGAGAATTTTATCTTTAGGGTTATAAGACAAATTCTGTTAGCTAGCAAAGAGAAGTTACATCCAGAATTGCACGTTTCTGTGCTATTGGAAAAATTAAGGAAAATAGGTTACAAATTAAGCATTTTTTCACATAACTAATACTTTATGGACTTTATTGTCAAAGACACGCCCAAATAATGATTTTCGAAATTCAAAAAATTGCATGTATAGCATACCATTTGAATGCAATAAACATTATACTGAAGAGACTTCTCGATTTCTGAATATTAGGATAGATGAACATAAAAATTACATTAAATCATTTGTAATATATCTTCGCATATTACCCTATTATACTAATCTTAGGTAGAAAGACGATGAAATTTAACTCTTGTCTTTGAGATAATCTATACCATTTGAATTGAATCTTTAAGTGGATACTGGTCATCAATAAATAATTTATCCCAATACACATTATGTGTGTATCATAGACAACAACATAAATTGCAGTAAACATATACACCCACATCTTTAACAAGATATGTCGCTATAGAACAAACCCATTAAGCTTATACCCGTATTTCTTCGTCGACTAAAAGCATCACATTTCGTTGAATTTAAAAGCAATTTATTAACATTGCACCAGGAGTTTATTATATCCAGATTTCTTGGAGATTCACGACATAAAAACACTATTAATGGAACGAAATATTTTTACATCGTTCGCGTATACAAATAACTCGCTTTTAAGAGAGAAGCAACAACATTAATAAATAACGCACACATCAGAGCTCCAAGAATAGAACCTTGCGGTTTAGAGGCAAATGGTATTTGATTAAGAACATTTTTTGATGTGAACATGGTTTGTGGATTTGTATTATGCCTTTAGAGGATCATAAAAAATGCAACGGCAAAATAGTACAACTTCTCACAGATGAATTAAAAATATGATAGTTAATAATAATAAAAATGTGCTTCCATTATTTTTATGGCAGTCTGCCATACTTTGCTACAGTATATTTCAGTAAAAAACAGTTTTTGAAATAATAAAGGAAAACGTTTGGTTGAAATTTTACAAAATCTATTTCACATAAGTATGTTGAACTTCGGTCATAAAATGAGCACTTAATTTCATATTCAAGCAAAGGAATATCCTTGTATCACTGGAAACATTCTTACGTGAGAGTCTAGAACTTACTGGTTTCTCCAGGCCTGTACGCGTGCTTGGCGGGACGAATGATGACATCCCTGACAGGGCCGACAAGTCTCATTTGGGAAGAACTTTGGAGCTCGCATTTGTCGTTTCCGGTACAGTTTATCAGAGTTTGCAGCGTACAACTTCCGGTGGCCTCTGCGGGTACCTTTAGGGGCAGGATACCGTGGCCTGGAAACGAGGGAAATTGTTAGTGTTGCGAAATGTGACATTATGTATGATGTACGTTTTCGGGGCTCGCATTTCGGATGTAACGGTGAGAGCGGACGGGATGTGTTAATTAATTAGGCAATTATCCCTAACGGGGTTTACTATGACTTTCTCTATTATTGCTATACATGTTTATACTATTGCCCAGGGTGCGCAGTAGCATACAAGGTGCATAGGAGTAGTTGCTTATATTCTCATTCAAAGTTTTATTAAAATTTGCTATTTAAGGGTTAATTTTAATATCATTTAATTAAATAATAAAGTACAAATAAAAAAGTACAATATGTTGTGACATAATAAACATAGGAATTATATTAAAGAATGATATTATAACAATATTTTTTCGGTGTATTTTGTAAAAAGTTACAATATACAGTCTGGTTTATTATAAAGACCCCGAACTTATAGTCGGTTACCCATTTTTGGACACCCTGTCTAGTATTAGTAACATATATTTTTAAATGGGATGTTATTTTCTTTATACTGACGCACAATTGTTTTTTTCATCACACCGTAGATGAGTGGTGACGTCATCGATATTTTTTTAAAATGGGATTATATACATTTTTTTACACGGTTTGATTTTTTTTATTTTCTTCTAACGAAATCTTTGAGAAAAAAATGAGAAAACTTTCAGTCTTTCACTTTAGTTTACGGTGCTCGCTTTCTAAATCATATCAAATAGATGGCGCTGGAACAGTTTTGCATACTGTTACAAGTCACATATCGGATTGTTTGTTATTGTTGTCAAAAACATTATGAACGCGAATTAGGTTAACAGTTTTTTTTTATTATATCTATACAAGCTGTCTCCTAAAAAACGCCGCAAGCCATAAATCCGTTATTTACAATCTGATTTTAAAAAAGAAAAAACTAAATACAGTATAAATGGAGCCTAATAGAGGTTATTTACTTTTGTTTTTTTTTGAAGAGCGATAGTCAACTTTTTTTTTCAAATGGCAATATAGTTTTTTTGTTATTTATTATTGTGCAGATGTATTTTCTGAATCCAACGATGTATATGAACTTGACTTTTGTAAAGCATTTATTACAGAAAAGAGGACAAAATATTAGTCGATACCGCATTCGGCGCCCGGCCACTAATTCATGACAAATGTGTTTTAACTAATCATGTGTGCCATGGAAAACAAAAAATAATACAGCAAAGCAAATAAAACTCAAAAGAGAATTTTGTAGTTAACAGAAAAGAAACAATACAATGAATATCAATTAAAAGAAAAACAATTCAATTAAATACATTAACCATTATACAAAGTTCAACACGAAATAACATTAATTAAACACAAAACACATTAAAAGAAGAACAATAAACACAAACAACTACAGAAACAAATTGTAGTCGTCCTCTACTGCCTGTACTTTTTGAGGAATGTATGTGAATTTGTGCTTTTTCAATACTGCATGTACAAGGTGGTTAATTTTCGATAGTTTTATAGGGTACAGCCAAAACGGTGATAGATACAAAAAATCTGATATCGATGTCCCGTCCTCTTTTTTTGAGTTTACTTCACTGGTATATAGTTTTCAAAATGTCCCCTTAGCTCCTCGACATTATTAGCTCTATACTTGTAAATTTTGTCTTTAAGATCCCCCCAAAAATAAAAGTCTATAGGGGTTAGGTCTGGTGACCTAGGCGGTCACCTATTTGGTCCGTACGTACCGATCCAATTGTCCTCGAAATTATGATTTAATAATTCTCTAACTTTGTGGGAATTATCTGGAGGCGCACCATCATGCTGAAAGGACATGTGATATCGTTGACCTAGTGGCATATCGTCAAGCGGTTCAATAATATTTTCTTGTAAAGAGGAAGAGAGCTACCCATGCATGAAAACCAAATTGCCCTTGCTGAATTCTGGCCACAGTTTGGTGAGGATTCACATCTGACCAATAACGCGCATTATGCCGGTTGAATATACCTTCGCTGCTTATAAAAGCCTTGGAAAAAATTCTCGCCACTCGCCAATTTTCATCGTCTCGTCGTGATTTTTTTTTTAATAATATCGTAATCTGAATTTTCATATTCCGGTGAGGTTTTTTCGAAAAACCCATTTTTAATGCTTAGGGGGCGCCCCTTATGACCCTTGATGATATATCTGATATTTTTTCTTCAAAAACCTAACTCCAAATATATCATCAAGGGTCATAATAATCAATTTTATTAATAGCAGATACTTTTTAAACATTTTTTTCTACAACTGAACATCGAGTATTTAAAATTTTTTTCTTCGACATTGACGTTGGGGCGCTCCCTAAGCATTAAAAAAAAGGGTTTTTCGAAAAAACCTCACCGGAATATGAAAATTCAGATTACCACGAGATTATTAAAAAAAAAAACACGACGAGACGATGAAAATTGGCGAGTGGCGAGAATTTTTTCCAAATAAAATGTTATTCAACGGGATGGCGAAATACAGGGTGTTCTATTTAAAAAAACCTATGTTTATGTAGTATCGGAAAAACTGTGCGATTTGTAAAAAAATCTGAATACGCCACTGGCTTCCTAACAAAAAATAGAACAAATAATGTGCACACTTTTTTCTTCTAAATTGAATGACAACGGAGATAGAGAGGTTAATTTAAATGGGCCATTAAAAAAAAACCTGTATATCTAAAACTAATCAAGTTAGCCAAGACCTTTTGGTACCAGCGAAGTAAACTCAAAAAAAGAGGACGGGACATCGATATCAGATTTTTTGTATCTATCTCCGTTTTGGCTGTACCCTATAAAACTATCGAAAATCAACCACCCTGTACAGTTAGTTCCCTTTGATGCTTTAATATTATTAGAAATTTCCCGAATGGAAGTTCTTGGGTTTTCTTCAACGTTAAGAAGAACATTGAACTCGATGTTTTCATTAAATTGGCGTTCCTCTCGTTTTGGTTTCTTAAAAGCACTATAGTTTCTCAAATTTTCTTCAAGTCTTACAAATCTACGTGGTTATGGTTCTTCTCTGTGAGGAAATAGTTCTCTGTAGAGGCGGATTCTTGCACCACAGTTTTTATTACAACGAAAGTACCTGAGCACCTGAATCATGTCCGTCAATTGTTATTACTCATATTTTGCGCTGTTTAACTTATTTCAATAAATAAGCTACTGTAAATGACACAGAAAGAGTATAATGCGTAAATAACAGACGCAAATGCCAAAATGACAGTTACTTGCTTTGCTGTATTATTTTTTGTTTTCCAGGCATACATGCTTAGTTAAAATATGTTTGTTGTCAATTAAACGACCGGGCGCTAATAATGCGGTATTGACTAATATTTTCATGCTTTTTCTGTAATACATGTTTTGCAAAAGTAAACTTTACTATATACATCGTTGAATTCAGAATAAAAATCTGTACAATAATAAATAAAAAAAAAATCGATATTGTCATTTGAAAAAAAAGTGACATTTGCCTTAAAAAAAAATAAAATAAAAATATGCTCCAATAGGCTCACTCTATAGTGTTTTTAGAGCCATTTCATATTTTTTATTTTATTTTATAAATCAGACTATAAATGACGGAGTTGTGGTTTGCGGCGTTTTTTAGGAAACAGCCTGTATAATTATTATAACAGTAAACTTTGTAAACTAAATAAGATTCTAGCAGTATCATGAAATTATTTGTTACTTAATTGAGTCGATTTTGAAGGTAAGCGTACAATACCTGTGTTCAGTCAGATTAAATCAGGGAACATCCTTGCTCATATCTGTCCTTGTTTAGTTATCCATTGTATGAATTGATTATAGCACGTTTGAACCCGCTCCTGTTGTTGATAATTTACATGCTATTTGGTTATTTAAATTAGATTTTGTATGTTATTGGTTTTTGGTGCGTAACAATGAATAAATGCATACTTAATAATACTTTGTGCATGGGAATATTTTCATTTGTTTTCCCAGTCGATAACATTTGAACAAATATTTCATATGGACCGATAGGGCAGATAAAATACATGCAGTAGAACAAGACAGGAGTGGCGTTAATTAAATGTGATATTTAAACAAGATGTTTGTCAAACGGTTTACAGAGCTGAGTATGATTACAGAAAAAGTATTGAATCCGTGAATACCGAATACTCTGTTAAAAAAAAAATCGTGTTTACTTGAGTACAACATTCAAAAAGTACTCGTATACAGAATATTTGCATTCTGTAAGTATTCACGTTATGTGAATGTAGTGGTGAAAATTTACAATGTGTAAGTTAATTTGAGTGTAATTAATGAGATCTAACAGAAAAAAATATAGGACTAGATAACATAGTAGGTACTAGACATAATTTCAGAATTTACGGTTACTTAAGTAGGTAATCAGAGCATATAAGTTTTAGAGCAAATTTTAAATTATTTTTTCAAATTTGTATAACGACATTACTTGAAGTTTTTCCAGTGTAACATATTTCTATATTAAAATTAGGAACTTTTAAGGAAGTTTTCTCCAGAAAGTTATAATAATAAAATATTAACAAAAGTTAATAGTTTTTCAGATTCAGACATATATCGGTCAATGAGTTAAAATACTTGATTTTTTTAATGTAATAGATTTTTAAAAGAAAACAACTTAAATTAGGAAAAACGCATTATTTTTATTACATTGAAAGTTTGCAGACTTATTAGAAACAACGTTTGTGGCAAAATTTTCTGAATATCAGAATTAAAAAAATTGTTTAATAATGCATATTTTTTGTGGTAGGTACAATGCGCCAATTTTTGGAAAACTACAATAAATCTTATACCTTCATAGTAATCCACAACTTATATATTTTACATAACATAACATTTTAATTTTATTTTTATATTAAGTAGGTCAGTATTCATTTAGAGATGACACTTATGGTGAACCTTCCTCTTCGTATAACTGGAAATATATGTATGTAATAGCAATAATAAAACTGTAGAAAAGTTTAATATACATACCTATATGTGTAAGGTTACTGCTCTGCATTTAAAATAAAATTTAGTATAAATTCTCTTTAATGTAATCATGACAAAATTTTATCAAACCATCGCAGATTTAATATAGATACACACATAATGACTCTCCTGGTTTAATGAATCCTTAATATTAATGAGTACTTATATATTCATGGATACCATATTATTCATAAAATAATTTTATTATCATGAATACTATTTCTGTATACTGACTCCTGATGACATAATTATAACTGATAAGAATGTTGAATACTGCCAAATAAATTATTGTCTGATACTGATTACACAAATATTATATTGAATATTAGTCATGAATACATTGTTTTCGAGTTGGGTACCTCTGGCTGTTTCTGACATTTCAAATTAAATATACATTTAATTAATTGCAAAGCTTCCAAATATGTTTTAATTTTGTATACCAATATTACTTTTACTCAAAATAAATGGATTATAATAAATATAAAAAATGCTCTATTTCAGCGAAAATGAAATTGCTGAAAGTAGATATGCGTAGGAGGTTCGAAATAATATTACTTTATTTTCCATTCGCGTGTGTAGCTTCTCACATGGCGATGTTTAAAGAAAAAATAACAAGTTCTTTCTGAGTTGATATGCGTAGGTAGTGTAACATTCCCATACAAATATTATTTATATTCCATTTGTGTATGCTACGTCTCCGAAAATTCAACATTTTTTTCTTGTTGACTGAACTTCGGAAACAATTTCATTTACCCTATAAAATTTTTGTGGGAGATATCGTACTAAAATTGGCTGGAAAATAAGCTTTAGAAATTAAGCATTTCACAAAAATATTCAATAATTCTATACAATTTTTTTTAAATGAAGTAATATAATTCAAAAAATGCACAGTTTCAATTTAAGTACGTAGCAGTAGTAATTTCTGTTGCATTTCAATACTTCGAAGGTACAAAAATTATTAAGCATCGGGATATTTCAAATATTTAAAATAAAATATTGCTTCATCCTTCCAGGCGAGAGACTAAATCTAAATATACAGGTGTCTCGAAATTAATGCAACAAAATTTGGTCACAAATTCTTAAGACAAATGTAGAGTACTTTTTATTTTTGCCAAGTGGCCCCCTCTTTCGGAATTATAGCCCCCTGAAATCCGCCCCTAAGAATAGTTTTTTTTATATCTCAGAACTCAGTTGTACGAGAATCACTTTTGTTACATAAGGCTTTTATGACATATGCAATCTGATAGTGCTATGCTTTTTGGCGGGGAACCCCCTTAAGATGCTTTTTCGTGGGGCCCCTTGTCTTTGGAACCAAAAAAATTCGGTCGCACATGTGAATTTCTTAAAAATTATTAGTTCGCTAGAAAGTTATTCGAGAAAATTGGTAAAATGTGATCGAATACATCTCCATCCACCTACGATGAACATGTAGAATTTCAAGCGAATCACGAATCACGATATGCATTCGATAACATTTCTCGAAAATATTGCGTTTTACGAAAAAAATATGAAGAGACAAAAAAGTTTCTGAATTCGTTGGCTTTCTAGCGGACGGAAGTAATTCAAATATGCAATCAAATTTTTTTGGCTCCAAAGACAAGGGGATCCAAAAATGTTTTAAGGGGGTTCTCCGCAAAAAAGTGTAGTACTATCAGATTCCATATGACATAAAACCTCTGTGTACCAAATTTAGTGATTTTCGTACAACAGGGTTCTGAGATATAAAAAAGACTATTCTTAGGTGTGGATTTCAAGGGGCTGTAACTCCTAAAGAGAGGTCACTTTGCCCTAAATTTGTCTTAAGAATCTGTGACCAAATTATGTTGCTTTAATTTTGGGAACACCCGGTATAACATTTATATATAAGCTGGGCTTTTCTAGATTTTAAGATTATTACAAGTTATCATTAAAAATAAATATACTAGACTGTATTCAAACCTACGAATATGTACTTTAGGACAAATGGAAATGATTTAATGCAAAGTAATATTTCTCTGTGTTCTAAAAAGAATAGTGGCAGTTATTGGACAATAATGGTAAGGTTTTAATAAAGACCAAAGCCATTTTAGCCTTCAGATATATTAACCGCTTTTTTTTCAAAGACCGGATAATAAAATAAGGGTATTTTTCAACGCAGTGCACTCTCCTTTGATATCCATTACGCTATTATTGCCCATGTTCGTACTATGCCCACTTTGAGGCTGCACAGACCATTCTTTGATCTCGCATTCTAGTTAAAATTTAACGAGTGGATTATAAATTACTACAAAAGGCGGAATGTTACATTGATTCCCATTTTTAGTCACCTAGAGCAATCGCATTCACCGTAGTTTATGTAACTGCAGATGAATAAATGAAATTGAAAAAAAAAAGTTCTTGTGCATATCCAAGTAATATTTTTACCTAAATTGAATCAGCTTTTTTAGTTTGGCCTATACAATAATTATTAATTGAAATATTTAACATTTCTACTACAAACGCTGTAACAAAAATCAGAAAATTTAAATTTTTTGACCTTGAAGCAAAATGGTGCCATAAAATTAATATAAAAACAATGTTATTAAAAATTATAGAGAATTTATCTGGATTTATCTTCGACTTACATACTACACGGAAAGAGGTGAACAGTTTTTATCTCACTTTTTTTTGTAAACAGAAAATTTTCAAAATCTCTACTAATAAACAGAAACAACAAAAAAATTGAGTCTGTTTAAACAGTTTATAATTATCTCTAGTTTTTTGTAAATAATAAACAAATTCATGTTTGTGTACAGCAAAACATCCCCTATGCTATGTTTTATTGAAATATGGCAGTGTCTTTAATAAAATCAATCAAAAAATATCTTTGAAGCGCATAACTTTTAAAGGAAATATATTGTTTCAGAGGGATATTCAACAATTGCTTTGGTTTGGTCAGAAGAAGCTTTGGTTAATTTTTTTAACCCTAATTATCAGTTAACTCGTATATTTATTTGTAAATAATATAAAACGTTCCACTTAATTAATATAATTTAATTTTAGGTTGATTTTTGTCAAAACTGTAGACAATCTGTCTACCAAAAAAAAGTAACCCCAGGGCAAATTCTAGAGGAAAGTTTTCTGAAGTAGTATTAGCGAACGAGTCTTATGCAATATAGTAAAATTAAATATTGTCTTCAATTTCCTGGAATATACAGTTCTCATACCTATTTTTGCTATAATTATAGCCTGTACACTTGACACCTACTGACTACTAATGTTTTAGGAAACAAAGTTATCACCAAATGTATTTAAATTATATTAAAACCGAAAGATAAACAAACTAGATGAATTTTAGATGAAATTAAGGTGATACCGTTGGGCTTTTCTACAGAGTTCAATAACGATTTAATAAAATACAAAGGTAAAAAATAATGCTTGTCACTATCTTTAAATTAAATACCAAGTATATTGTAAAAGCATAACAATCCCAATATTCCTACAAATACATCTTCTGTAGTTTCAAATAAATGTAATAGTAAATATTATCGTCAAAGTTTCTAGTATTGTTGTATTATACAATTAATAGGTATTCTGGGAAATTTGTAGCGAGATATAAAAGTTATTTGTTTTTCCAATTCATATCATATATAAGTACTTTGACAACTTGTTGTTTGCTATATAATTTTAACGGAGAGTACATAAACCTTGAAATGATGACAATTAATAAATATATCCGAATACTATTCAATTGCAAAGTTAGGATTACCATGATGAAACACTTTACAGTGCTAGTTTTATTTTACTTACTAAAGTCCCAAGCAGGTAAGCAGAAGTTTTTATATTTTTAAATGAATTATTTATAATTACTTTTTAATTACAATCCAGTACATATCTAATTAATTGTACTTTGCTGAGATTGAGGTTAGATTCAAAGGTCATTTTAAAATTATTTTTTATCTTATGTACGAATACGGTTCCAAAGTGAGGTCAGGATAAACTTGAAGAGATGTGTTGTCAAAATAAAACACAAAATTAATATATATGCATCAAAGTATCCTAATATAACTAACAGCAATCAACAGGTTTAATTTAACTATTTTGTAGCAGGAAATAATGTTAATTGTTATTGAACTATGTGTAATTTTCAGTTTTAAGCGAAACTAGAGAGCCAACCTTTAAATATGTCACGTCGTATAACAAGGAAGGAAGATTTATGACCAAGGACGATATTGAAAAATTAAGCGTCAACGTACTCAAGCCAATAATATTCATTATAGGTGGTTTGACAAATACAGACAAAAAGAACGACTCCTGGAGCACTGACCTTCAGGATGCTTACCTAGAGAAGCTCGTTCATAACGTTTTCATAGGTAAGTAATCAATCATTTCGCACATTCAGGATTTTTTATTTCCTCTTCGACAGTATTTTGCGATAAAAAAGTTCTTACATAAAATCATGATTAGACTAGTAATTTTTGAAATTTCTTTTGAACTAGAAGGAGTTTATTTATATCAATAATAATTTTTAAAATCAGTTTAAAATTGTTTGGGATGAACTTCCTCTTAATTTTCTTATATTGAAAGTTTATACGTAGCGCAACTGGAGTCTATTTTGGCAATTTGACAATGCATTGTTGAGAAATTTGACTTTAAAGCTGTAGTATATAAATTTAGAAAAGGAGACATAATATGCATTGTTCTTGCCAAGTAAACATTTAGAATATCTTTTCCGTTAAATGAATCTTAATATAAATTAAAGAAATGCATTGTTCATTCAATAATTTTACAGTTTATTTTAAAGTACATACAGAGTGTCTCACGGTGACGGCCCATTAGAATTATTTCTGAGACTACTTCGATTTGAATTTTGAAAATTTGGGATACCGGGTTTTCGGGCATGCCCTCCAAAATTGCAATAATATATAGGGTGTTCCATTTAAAATAAGCAAGTTGATGGCGACTTCCGGTATAACCGGAAGTGGTACGTGGACGCCATTATTTTAGTTGAGAAGGGCATGCCCGAAAACCCTGTATCCCAAATTTTCAAAATTCAAATCGAAGTAGTCTCTGAAATAATTCTAATG